TGTTTAGTCTGCTTGAAACTTCATATTTTTTAGACTAAAATGCATCTTAGTTACTAAGCTTGATAAATTATAGTGGAATTCTATGGTATTGATGTTGTAATTTATGATATTTTATTCAAATGTATATATATATAAAACCTCAAAAATAATATTTTGTTTCATATCCTCCATGTGCAAACATTTTAAAGGCTTAGCAACCTACATCAAGCAGCAACTGAGTACAAAGGTTGTAAATAGAAGAGATAATTGGTTGCTTTACTTCTTTAGTTACTGTTCTATGTTTTAAGAAAAATAAGTTTAAGAACTTATTTCAAAATAGCAGTAATTTATATACATATGTAATGTATAGTAATTGAAATGTGACTGTATTTTACAAAATACTAGTCTACTAAAATGCAGCCAAGACAAGTTACTTTGTACAGACCAGAGGTCAGTTTTATGTTATTGGATATGGTAATATGAGTGCACTTGAGCTGCATCATTGTAACTTCTGTGTTGTTAGCCAGGCACTGCTGAAAGGTCAATATAATAAAAATGATAAATATATATAAATGTATAATGTTATGAGATTTAAGCTATTTAATCTAAACATTTATGTTTTTGTGTTATAATTTGTGGTCATTCTAGAATGAAAGAGGCATAATTCATATTTATTTCCTAATTTTTTATGATGGTTATGAGATCATTCAAATTTACCGAACCCATACAGAGATTAATTACTGAAAATAACAGATAAAATATAAAGTTTTTCATAAGAAATGTTTGATAACTATCTAAACATTATAAAGATTTCATGTGTGAAATTTCAAAATTTTCTGATCCATAAAAGTATTTTTAATCTTAAAATGAATATTACTTTGCATGATAGATAGGCAAGATGTGAATAGAAAAAATAAACATGAGAAAAACATTGCTTTACAAATCTTAAGACTAAATATTAAAAAAATATATTTTGTGTATGAAAGTATTGTAATGTTTACTGATAATCTGCCAACTTTCATTAACATTTGCTTGCATATTTAAAAGTTATAGCATGAAATCTATAACAAGCACAAAATGGTTAGGAGGTTAGTCCCAGGGACTGAACCCATGCTGAGAGAGTTAATATTTTTATTCAACTAAGTTTCCTGAACAAAGTAGACTCTGTAATTTTTTATTATTGTGTTTTAAAATCCTTTAAAAGAAAGTTAACCAGTTCCAGGTAGGTTTATCAAAGAGAGAGGTTTTTCTACAATGAGAATATAATCAGGTTACTGGTATGTGACTCTTTGTCAAGTTGAACTTATCATAATCACCATTTATTCAGTATGAAAGGTAGACAGTGAGATTTCACTGAATAATAAGTGTAGAAACCTACAGTACTGCATATCAAATAAAACTCTTATCACTTTCAACATATGTAACTATTATAAGTTTAATGTAGTAACAAATGTACAACATTTAGATGGGGTTTTGTCATCATCAGGTACCTTATTGGAATATTGTATATTTGTTACTATGTTAAAACGTGTAATAAATTTTTCTTCATTAACCATTCCCGGCTTCAAATTTTATTGTCTCAACGTGAGTTCCTAGTCATCGAATTTGAAATCAAAGATGAAACCGGTCTTTGTCAAGGGTATAGGTGTGTGTAAATGTGCTATATGCAAAGTGACTGTGGTAGCTAGTTTTTACATTATATGTATTGAAATATCTTAAAACTAAGTATTATGGTGTTATAAGCATGAATCTGGAGAAAAAAACAAAAGCTGTTGCACTGATCACAGAAATTGATACCCACTGAAAGTTAAGCTATTATTAAAGTTCTGTAGCATGTAAAATTACATGTTATACAAAATTTTCAGTTAACTTTAGCCTTTTTTCTTTTTCTTTCATCAATAAAAATATGAAATTATTCTTTTCAATAAATATAGATGCTAAAAATTAAATCTAACAGGTAGCATATCTTCTGATATTGGGTAACCAACATTACTTGATATATACTATTTTTGTCTTGTCAGGAGATGACCAGTGGCCTCCAGGCTGTTGTCTAAGGTTTACCAATGGTCATCGTCTTGGTTGTGAGGATCGAGCTTTAGTTGAGCCACTGAAGCCTAGAGAAGCAGCAGATATTTCTATAGAGATGCTAAGTCCAGACCGGCCTGGTATCTACCAAGGCCAGTGGAGGATGAGCACAGCAACTGGACAGTACTTTGGAGGTAGGCTGTAAGGATTACTTTATTCATAATTGATCTAATTTTTAAAAGTTTCTTTTGAATTTTCATTAGGATCACATGCTACTTCTTGAAATGATATACATAGTTTACTAGACCTACATTTTGCAGAAATTCAATGAGGAGGAACCCACTTTGAGACTAATAATGGTTGGAGACGGCCTGAATGGGTAATGAAGAAAAACTTTGATATAAGT